TGAACCATATGGCTTTAGCTTTATCTTGAAAACCCATCTCACACTTATGTCTTCTTGTTTTGAGGTAGAACAATAAACTCCCATGTCTTGTTTATTTCAATGGCCTTAAGCTCCTCCTTTATGCTGTTCACCCACACCTTCTTCTTGATAGCATCATTGATGCTGACAGTTTTAGAGTCCATCATCATGACACTATGTATGACTTTCCCTTCAAAATAAATCTCATTATCTTGCAACAACTCAAAATCTGCAAGTCTCCTTGGTATCTGTCTAACTCTTTATGGCCTCTAGAAAACTTCAAAAGCAAGAACACCTTCATAAGTTCCACCTTTAGAAGTTGGACCACCTTCAGAGGCTGGACGACCTTCAGAGGCTTGATCACCTTCAGAGGATGGTACCTTTAAAGTTTGATCCACCATCAGAGTAAGACTCATATTTAGAGTCAAAGTTATATTCAGAGCCAAACTCACTTTCAGAGTCAGAGTCATCTTCAGATTTACACTCTCCTTCACAGTTAGAATCTCTTTCAGAGGTAGAATCAGACTCTAGTGTTGGCATTGCACTAGAGTTGGATTGAGACTTTCTTTGATCTCATGTTTTTTATTCTTTCACTATAACCTCTCTGCTGACTTCAACTTTGTTGGTGATTGGACAATAAAGCTTATAAGCACCTGTACTATGGTAACCGAAAAGCACCATAGCATTGCTTCTACCATCCAATTTCCTTATAGTAGCATCTAGTATGTGTTTGTAATATATTGAACCAAACACCTAGAAATGGGCGACACTTTAATTTCTTCCAGTCCACTTATTAATAGGAACTACTTCCTTTAACTTATTTGTTGGACATCTGTTGAGCACATATGTTGAAGTAGCAATTGCTTCACCCCACAATTGCTTAGACAAATTATTCTCCTTCAGCATGCTCCTTGTCATGTAAAGGAGAGTTTTATTTCTCCTTTCAGCAAGACCATTATGTTGTGGAGTGTATGGAGCAATCAACTCATGCTTAATACCATGTACCTTACATAACTTCTTGAACTTTGTTTAGTTGAATTCACCTCTACCATCAATTATGAGGATCTTTAACCTTTGTCCACTTTGATTTTCAACCTTCACCTTAAACTTTTGGAACTCAGCAAACAACTCATGTTTGAACTTAATGAGTGCTACCCATGTCATTCTTGTGAACTCATCCACAAATGACACAAAGTATATGTTCCCTCCAAGTGTAAGTACCTCAAATGGACCACATACATAAGTATGCACCACACCCAAAGAATGAGTTGCTCTTTGAGGCATTTTTGATGAGAATGGAAATCTTGGTTGCCTGCCTTTCATGCATACATCACATGATTTCTCTGGTGCCACAATCTTAGGAATTCCATGTACTAAATTCTTTTGACTCAGATGCCCCAATCTTCTATGCCATAACTCACTTTCCCCTTCAGTACTTCTTGCACTAAGGCATTAAGTTTTTACTATTACAACATTCACTTTGAATGTTATATTTCTTCCCAGTTCATACTGCATAATCAACTTCTAATTACAATCATACAACTTCAAAATATTGTCCTTCATGGTTACTGAAAATCCTTTTTCAATCAGGTGACCTGTACTCATCAGATTGCTAGTCATGCCAAGAACTACCATACATCCTTAATCAATACAGTTTTTCCATTGTTCAACTTAACTCTGACATTTTTTATTCCTTTAGCATTCAGATACTCATCATCAACACATATGATCTTAGTCCTTTTACTTGGCTCAAAATCAACCAGTCATTGCTTGTTTCCAGTTAGGTGATTTGATCAACCAATGTCCATATACCATAAGTCTATCATTGATCCACCTAGATTCTCATATGCCATCAATAACGCAGGTTCATCATCGTAATCTGCTCTGGCTATGTTGGCTTCTTCACTCTTGCTAACCTTGTTTGACAATCAATCAACAGGAAAATAGTCAAACTTGTTGCAACTCTAGCACTGAACTTTTCTCTTGTCAAACTTATCCTTTCCCTTATGAACATTATTATATTTCTTATCAGAATTGGAGAGTTCTGACTTCTGAACACCACCATTATACTTCTTATTCTTGAGCCATGCTTGCTTCTGGTTCTTCTTACCAAAAGAAGCTTTCAGAGTCTGAGCTTTCAGAGTTTATTCTAACTCTTGTTCAGAGTTTCTTTCAGTCAGACGCAACTCTTGTGCCTCTAATCTACTATGAAGCCCTTCAACTCTCATGCGACAGTATCTTTAGAGTGTTCTATGGCTACAACTATGTAATCAAACTGAGGAGTAATTGATATTAATACCTTTTCAATGATTACTTTTTTAGAGAGTGTTTCTCCACAAGTCTTCAATTCATTATTGACCACAATCACTTTGGAGATGTAATCAGGTACCTTCTCATTTTTCTTCATGCTGAGATTCTCATATTTCTTACGTAAGGACTGAAGCTTGACCTTCTTCACTGATGCATCACCACCATAACACCATGTCAGTGTATCCCACGCTGCCTTCGCTAGTGCCGAATCAACAATATTCTCAAACAGTTTTATCCACACACTGATGGATATAGAACAATGAATTATGATCTTTCTTCCTCATTTCTTGTTGCGCTGTTCTTTGAGCTTTTGTTGCATGTTATACAACCGACGTGTAATCGTCATTAACGTGATCAAAAAAAATCTTGAGCTCCAAACAACACACACATCTGAATCGAGCACCAATTCTAGTTCATTCCATAAAATATTGGAAGCTTTATGCTCAAGCTACCGTTTCCGTCGTTCATCTTCGTTCTTGTGCAAATCACTCAATTTTCACCAACACGCGTGTTTCCCAAACCCTAAGAATCAAGAACTGTGATTCTCACCGATTTCAAACTTCAATCCAACACGTGTTTCAGAATCGAAATCAATCACACACTTCATTGCACTCATGTTTTCCTATGAATCAAACCGGGACTCTGGATACCAATGATTGAAGTTCACCAAGGAACCTCCATTAACAATGCTCAAGAAGATGAAGAATTATTGTAGAGAATTGATGAGAGAGAGAGAGAGACAGAGAATTGTGTATCTAACTTTCTAATCTCATCGTGTAAAAGTTCAAATCTGTTACAAATTCACTTTCATTTGAACTTATATAGATTAACCGAAACTCAAACCAAATTCAAATGCAAATGAAACTCAAATACAAACGCAAATGAAATGAAAGCTAATCAATCTTAAATATTAAATTATATTCAACAAAACTATTGTCACTTCTCTATATTTAGAATCACGTGAAACACAAGCTTGCTTTTTTTTTCACAAGTTTGTTTTTGAAATTCACATTAAAAAAAGAAAAAAAGAAACTCAGACTTTTAGTAATGTAGTTTACACACTAGTTTTACTATCTATCTCTTGAATCTTTTAGTTAAAAGTTTTTTTTAGTGTCTCTCCAACATCTTCAAATTTCTTATTCTGCAATCAATTTTTCATATCATTTAAGCAGGATATTTTGAAACCAACAAAGAGAGAAAAATAACCATTTTGTTCTTTTTTATTAGTGCTTCTACTTCTTCTCTAATCTTTTTTTTTTTTTTAAATTTAATTTGAGATTTAATTTTTCTCTTATTAAATTATTGATGCTATAGATCTAGTTGATGTCCTGAATTTTTATCTTTTATTTACATTTTAAATTTTTTTGTTTTGTTTTGGGATTAAGTTTCGATTCATTGCAAAAAAAAAAAAAACGTAATTGTGATATTTTAGTGAGTCAACAAATTCATAAAACCCGCAAATCCTGCATCACTCAAAATCGATCAAACCAAACTAGAAAATGGATGGAATTGGGCCACTATATAATACCTGCGGTTTGGACCGGTTTGATGCTTTGGGCTCGAACCCACTCGTTGTCTAGCTTGTGTACAGGTTGAGGTTTCTTTCAGCCACCCCCGAATTTTACTAACACCCTTACATCTCTTATGTTTTTACCATAGTATCCTTTATAATTCTTTATGTTTTTGAAAAATTGTGTATTTTCTAAATTTTAGAAAGTCTATGTGCTTTTGTTGGTTTTTTTTTTTAAAAATATGAGTTTTTATCCGATTTAAAAAAAAAAAAGTATTAGATTTTTTAAAATAGTCTATTGTATTTTTAAAAAAAATACCAGTTTTTGTTGAAATTTTCAAAATACACTACCAAAATTTCCAAACATATATATATTTTGACCGAATGTTTTGAAAAATTCAATAGTATTAGTTCCAAATTTTTCGAGTTGCACTTTCGAAATTTTCATTCACTCTTTTTAATTATATTTTGACAAAACTATTTGTCTCATTCCGCAAGATTTTACTTAGAAAAACCTATACGTGGCCGGAAGAATTAAAACCCCAATCCACTTCCTTTAGAACAGAAATCCATGATTAGAAGACAAAAAATTATCGCATTTTTCAATCTTAAAAATTAGAAAACACCACATCAACATAATTGAGTGGTTCCACTAAAATAAATGCAGTTTTGCCCTCTTACCATAAACAAGATAGAGTCTCGCTGAGCTCAACGCAGCGTGGGAGTTGTTCGTCGGCGGCCGTTAACTCTGAGAGAGAGTTCCTCCAGGTTTTCCTCTTTCACACAAATCATTATATTTTTCTTTATATTTCGTTTCTCCAACCTACGTATTAAGTTAGTTTTGAATCACTTCATAGCCCCAAGCCAAAAATATATAATAGTTTGACATAAATAATCATAATAACAATATCTGATTTTGAATTAGGGTTTAGGGTTTTAGCGTTTAGGGTTTAGATTTGTATTATTTTGAACATTTACAGTTTGGTTTTTTTGGGTCAACTTTTAAGATAAGGTCACTGATGCATTGGTCTATACATATTGTATCAATCTTCCATAACTGTGTAATGGACGGGCTTAAGTATGCTGAGTAGAAATGATTTTAACTTATCATATCTTTCTTTGCAGCTTGAGAGATTTCAATCGGTATACGTCAACGATAAAGATGGGTTACACTTACATAACCTCTTTCCAAAATAAGAGTTTCAGCTTTCACTCTTGGAATGATCTGCATGATCGTAACGATCAAGGGCGTTGTGTTTTTCGCATGACTTTGAATGTTACTTCAAGGAAAAAGATGTCTACATTGCACCAAATTTCTCTCCGTGATTGTTTTTCTTCTAATAGATGTTGCTCGTCTTGGAAAGGATTGCGGTGTAGAAGATTATATGCTACTGTTTTAAGTGATAGAGTAGATGAAGTTGACCATGAGGTTTCCGGCTTTGAGAATTATACTGGCGAAAGGAGAGAATCTAGTGAACGAGTGGATTCAGTCGAGTCTCTCAACTCTTCAACTTTGTCATCAAAGGCACAATATCATGTTAAAAATGACGAGGCTGTCAACAATAAGACTCTTCAGACGCTTTGCAATAGTGGAAATATAAGGGATGCAGCAAGATTGATTGATATTATGTCCCGTATAAGTCAAATACCTCATTTTCCTTCTTGCACGAATTTGATACGAGGTTTTATCCATACTGGTCGGGTAGACAAAGCTTGCAGAATCATGAATATAATGGTTATGTCTGGTGGTGTTCCTGATACAATTACATTCAACATGGTTATTGGAGGTCTTTGTAGAAAAGGTAATTTAGAATCTGCTCTTGAATTGCTTGAAGATGTGAGCTTGAGTGGATGCTCCCCAGATGCAATTACTTATAATACAATAATCAATTGCATATTTGATATAAGAGATTCTAATTTTGCTATTAGTTTTTGGAAGGATCAGTTGAGAAAAGGGTTCCCTCCATATTTGATGACCTATTCATTTCTTATTGATATGGTTTGTAGACATTGTGGGACTTCTCAAGCCCTTGAAGTATTGGAAGATATGGCAAGGGAATGTTGTTATCCCAATATCAATATGTACAATTTTCTTGTAGGTTTTAGTTCTAAACAGGGGAAATATAAAGATACTGCTTTGGTTATTTCCAATCTTTTATCCCGTGGGTTGAAACCGGATGTTGTGACATACAATAACCTTATACACTCTTTTAGTCTCCGTGGGCATTCGGACTTAGTTGATGATATTTTGAAGATTATGAATGAGAGTTCAATTACACCTTCACTTGTTACTTACAATATTCTGTTGAGTAGTTTATGCAAATCTGGATTTTTGGATCGTTCCATAAGCTTATATCTCAAAATGGTTTCTGAGAACTGTTCGCCTGACATTGTTACTTACAATATTCTTCTAAATGCATTATGTAAAGAAGGATATATAGACGAGAGTGTTCAATTACTTCACTGTTTGTCTGGTACTAACTGTTCTCCTGGATTGGTCACATATAGAATAGCAATTGAGGGGTTGGCTAGAATGAGGTCTACAAAATCAGCAAAAGAAATGTATCGGGAAATGGTGGAAAAAGGAATCAAACCAGATGATCTTACCCACCGTATTCTGATAAGGGCTCTGTGCCGGGTATATGAATTTGAAGATGCGGTGGAGCTATTGAAAGTGATGTATTGGAAAAGACAAACGATTAATAATGATGCGTATATATGTGTTATCATAGGATTATGTAAGCAAAAGAAGCTTGATATTGCGATTCAAGCTCTAGAATTGATGGTGAAATGTCCATGCAAGCCAGATAGAAAAATGTATTATTTTTTAATTAAGTCTCTTGCTTATGAGGGTATGGTAAAAGAGGCTAATGCTTTGTATCAGAAGTTGATCGAATGGAGATTCTTAAAGAGGACTCGGTTGATTTAGTTCGAGTTCACACTTAGATTGGCCAAATCCAATACTTCTTCTAGCCATGTACTAATTATATCAGGTGAATATTCTAATCCTTTTTGTTTGTTCAAACCGACCATATTTGCCTTATAACTCTCTTGTTTCATGATATTGTTATGTTGGTGTTGTGACTTTTGTAGTTATTCTAACTAAAAAACATGTAATTCTAATGACTAAATAAGATTTGTGCTTCTAACAAACAAAAATGTTGCCTTGTAACGAAAGTTACCTCTCGGCTCCTATCTTGTTCTGGTTTCTTCCAAGTTGTAATGATTTTTTTATCAGATATGTTGGTAGTTGTAGTTCATCATTGTATCTCTTTCTTCGTTGAAAACTGGAAGTAACATTTTAGCTTCCATGTTGAAGGTTGACTGATTTTATTGTGCCTCTGTCGATTTCAGGAAAGGTGGATTGGGTACTCAATTAGGTATCGTGATTTCTAACCGCATCAGCTAATATAAAATCGACATGGAGTAAAATTGGCTTCATCACTAGTCACTAGCTATTTGTAATGTCAATTTAATCTTCACAATTGCAGATTCTTATGTAACTCCAATATTTTAAATTGATGTTTTAGTTGGTTTTGGTAGCTTCCATTTCATCTACATTGACTTCATATGGTTATATAATCAAATTGTTTATCATCTAAAAGAGTCTGAAGACAGTTATTGTGCTGTTACTATGTTACTTTGATTTGTGGAGGTTGAATAGAAGAAACACAAATGGAGATATTGGTTTAAAATTAGCTGCGTTATTTAGTCCCAAACCAACTCATCAAACTTATAATTTTGTTTTTATGTTAATGTTATTTTGGTCCAGGGACTTTTATGATTATTCTAAATTAAAAAAAAGAAACAAAGAATCTTGCAATGACTCATTTTTGTGCTTCTAGTTCATTTTATTTATTTATTATTAAGCAACTAATTTTATATTTTTACCAACAAAAATGTTGTTATTATTATGATTACATATGTTTTAAGCTTCTAGTTAATTACTTTCTTATTTTGATGGAGTTGCTTTTGTAGTTAATTTAACAAAATTATTTAATGAATGCACATTCTTCTATTCTAAAGAATGTGTACATCTTAAATTTTTGAGAATGTTATTTAAAAATTTTTAGGTGTCCAATACTTCATTGTATATACAGTTTTTAGTACTTATATTACTTTTGTTGTTGTCGTCGTCGTCATATTAATAGTTATTGATTTCATTTGATCAGAAAGGAGTCAGTGACTTGCCACGCGTCGTGATCTGATGTCTTCACCGAGTTGTGGAGAAAGAAGGGGGTGTACCTACAAAATGCTTTGATACCTAAGTAAGTATCGGAACTAGAGAGAGTAAGTACAGAGAGAAGGTGTGGAGAATAGAATACCTGACCTTCTAGTGGAAGATAATATTTATAATGTGCCCCCAGGGCATGGCCAACGGTTACATTGTATTGGGCCGGATTGCCAAACCCAACACAAGTAATTGTCAGGGCTTACGTGACGTAGTGAAGACCAACACGTGGTCTTCGCTCTGGGTCAACTGCCCCGTGATCTTTGAAAGGTGAGCTGACCATCTCTTCCGGAAGTGGGTAGTTGCTTGATGACGTGTCCCCGTGTTAGAGACACGTGGAGAACGTGGGGAAAGCGTGTGGGTCTCCCCGTCAGGAGAGTCTTCTGCCCGGGGGACGTACCTTGTTGAGGCTCCAGCCCGACAGAGAAAACCGGGCCTTGTTGGGCCTCATCATCGTAGCCTTGGGTTGGGCCTGCCTAGCTGAAGGGCAGATCTTGACCCAGTCCAGAACAGGGGCCTCCCAAGTCGCTGCTCCAAGGTGAATGAGTAGTGACTTAAGGGCAGGTTGAAATGTCGAGGTCATCTTCGGGAGAGTGCATCTGCCCGACGAATGGAGTCAGGGTTTGCTTATTGTACCAGGAGAGAAAGTATGTCGGGGATGCTAGGAGGCACGCGGGAAGCCTAAGAGGCATGTCGGGGAGCAGGACAAGGACACAAATGGCTTGCTGAGCTTTTGGAGCCGCCACGTGTCAAGCAGCCACTGCTTGGCTAGGTCAGTTAGGGGTAGGGGTGCTTGAGTGCCTAGGGGCGCCTCGAGTCCCGTGCTAGGCTTATAAATAGCCCGGGCCTGCTCCATTTCCCACTTTTCACTCTCTTTGCTCTCGACACCGCTTTTCTTTCTCTTCTGCCTCTTCAAGCTCTGCACAACGACATCCGCCATCAGCCGCCGTACCGACCGCCACATCCTTTGTCTAGAACCTCCGTTCCAAGTAAGTTTTGGATGTTTTTTGTTATTTCTTTTACACTTTCGTCTTGTTTTGCCTATTTTCCGATGATCCCACGGTGGACTGATGAATGTCCCGAGGAGATCGCGGGGGTTTCTAGTGAATACGTCGGGCCCCCCTCGAAGAAAAAGTAGGGTTAGGATGAATGTCTCGGGGACAAATGTTGAAGTCCCCGGGCGGGTTAGTCAATCTTGGATGAATTCCCCGGGGATGAACGATGAGTTCCCCAGGCATGTAGGATATTCTTCGATGAGTCCCCCCGGAAAACGAGGAGGCCCACGTGGGGGCACTCCGGTTTGGACGTAGTTCCTAATATGGAGTTTCACGCACCTTCGTCGGGGACCAATGCTTTGGGGCCTCGGCGGGGCTGCTCTCGTTTGCTTAGGTGTTAGGGTCCTGTCCGTGGGGGTCTCCCCTCTTCGCCCTTTCACTTGAGCTACGGTGGAAGGGTGGATTTGATTCTGAACATCGAATTCACCAATTTCCTCTGCTTTTCAGGTGTAACTGGTTGCTTGGGCCCAACGAACTGTTGAGATCGACAACGAGCCAGATTCTCCGATGGCGCCGGTCGACGAAGAGCGTATGAGATCTGCCGAGGACTGGGCCGATGAGGAGCCTTTGAGTATCTCCTCTCTCTTTGCTGAGGACGATTCCGACGCTTATGCCAACGTCGAGGATTGTGTCGAGGGTTCCATCGTCAACTGTCAGGTGTACAAACCGCGGGAAATCCATCGGATATGCTCGGCGTACGGGGGAATGAGGTTCCCTATGTACGAGTTCACCTTCCGGGAGGCGGGGTTGCGCCTGCCCTTCATTGACTTTCAGCTAGGGGTCTTTGATTGGCTTCGGCTTGTGGAGGCAAATCGCCACACATCACACAAGTCTGCAAGACATTGGTCAATACAGGTTTCGATGATGACAAATTACAGCCTTGGATAGATTGAAAATTATAAACTCCAGATCTACTAAACAGATGCAATGTATCACCTACCATATCCTTTTATACTTGTCTTAAAACTGCTGTAATAAATATACTATGTGTAGATAAAACACAATCATGACCAGAGGCATGAAAGACCACAAACTAATGAATTTTTGCAGGTTTGCAGGGCATGAGTCGACCATAGGGTCGGCGCATGCATCAGAGCACTTCTCCACTGGTCAACGCACAAGGCAATGAGTCGACCATAGGGTCGGCACATGAGGGAAAAATTTTCCAACGGGTCAGCGCATAAAGGCATGAGTCGACCATAGGGTCGGCGCATGAAGGAAATAGTTTTCAACGGGTCAGCGCACGCCGACTGTATGGTCGACGCATACTGATGAATTTTCCAGATTTCCAAACAACACAGGCCATGCGTCGACGCACAGACCTGCTGCGGTCGACCGTTCGCGCGGAAATCCTGTTTTTAAATGATTCCCTCTTATATTTGAAATACTGTTATGTCTAAAATTGGGTTGGTAGTATATATACTTGTTTAACCACTTGTGTCATTTTAACATTTGATAATCTTTGATTCATGTGTTCAAAAACAAGAAAGAGTGAAATAGGTGTCCAAGATTCATCATCTTCATCTTCAACATCTCACAACATTTCAATTACACACAATCATTTTTGAAGTGCATTTGTGAGTGATTCAAGGTGATAAGGTCCGAAGCTTAGATTGGAGAATCAAGTTCGGGTTGAAGCTTGTGACAGGTTCTTTCTTGAATAAAATCGTTGGGGTTTTACCCTCCAAGATTGGTTTGAATTTTGGGGGTTTTTGGACGAGATTCTTCATCAAGGGTCAACTGAGCGAAGGTGATTGTGAAGAGGTGTTCTTCACAAGTCTAGTAGCGGATTCAGTGATATTGAAGGGAAGATATCAGGTTCGATTTGTTGTTGTTGAGATCAGCCGGAGCCGAAGGTTTGAACAACAACGTGTTATTCAATAAGGTGGATGGAATCAGAGGTCCATCAATAACAATCGGAGGACTTGATTCATCTTGAATCAAGGGGCAAGGAGTGAAAGCAACTTTCAACACATTGAGATTTTTGTTGTATATTTGCTGCTCAATCCTTGTATAAACTGTTACATTCAACAGGTGATATCTATAAAATCTATCTCAATTCTAGTTTTAGAATTGAGGGCAGACGTACCCCGAAGCGAGGACGACGGGGGAACTGCCTCACCAAATACTTGTCTTCTCTATTTTTCAACATTTACGTTATAGCTCAAAATAAGTGATTTTTGTATAAGCACTATTGTCAAAATTGTGATATCAATTGAGTAAGAGGTTAAAACTCTGTTTTTGACTCCAAAGTACAATAAGACATTGTACTAGGCTAGTTGGAATCACTTACTCAACATAAATATCACTTGGAGTGTTTTGCACACCAAGTGTTTGACAAATTGCTTGAACCAAAATTATCTTACTTGTGTATCTAGTTTTGGTTTGCTCTTTGAATCATTGGAACTAGGAATCCTAACAACTGAAGTAGATAATTGATAAGTGTGATTAGTGTTGTGATTCTATTTTCCAAATTGTCATTAATCCAAAGGCTTACGCATATCCGATTTTCCAATAACCGTTCGTTTTAGACTATATTTTCCTCGGTCGCTTCCGCACTTAAAACAATTTTTAAAACCAATTTTTAGTTGGTAGCGCCGACTCAAATTTAATTGGGGATCTATTCAACCCCCTTCTAGATCC